AATAAAATTATTTTGTTATCTTAAAATTGTACAATTGATCCCAAAGTCACGCATATCGTACTCAATAGATTGTTCTTCAAGAATATGGGTTGTTTTTATTCCCAGTGTTGCTTATTTTTTGTCCAACAGCCGCGAAAGTTGAGTCAAAATTTACTGTCGCGAACGGCGTTTTCGGGAGTGTTTGAAAAATTCCATTTTTCTCCATAATAAAGCGTTATTTGATCAAACCAACTATACAGCGATTCTTAGGATACATTACCCTATCTAATTTGAAAGTATGAGCGAAATCGATTTTTCAAAGTTTGCCACGTTTTGCTCGATGGTTACAGACAGTCACTCTTAAAGCATTTTTTTTCATGTTACAAAAATTTGTAAAATCATCTTATTTTTTCTATTAGCATTCTACATTAAATTTCTCTCAGGGCTGCGACTTATCGGCCCTGCGAGAAAAGATATTTCTTTTTTAACTCTCAGGGGAAAATATTATATTCGTCTGGACTACATTGACTTCATTATCTCCAATATTTGTCTAAATTAAGTGACTGAAATACAGATCGTTCTAGAAACTTCTTCGTTGTTGGGTAATAATCATAACATCACAATGGAAATTTATATAGAAATATTAGTTTTTCATTCAAAGAGTTCATTCGTTCTAGCTCTTTCGCTTTCGTGTTATGAAATGTATAGGTCGGCCGTCTTCGGGTGTCCAGTTGAGGGTCGCAAACATGGCGGCCAAATCACGAAGGTTAAAAATCATGTTCATATTGCGTTTTCCAATAACAATAATCATCAAAAACGTTGAAAATTTATTTCAATCGAATTTTCCTATTTCTAAAATCCTTTGAAGATGCGTGATAACATTGCAGGAATTAAATAAAGCAAAGCTTCCATAGGCCGAAATAGCAGCCAAAAATATATATCTCAGACAAAGTTATAGTTTAAAGAAATTTTAGATACAAAATAGGAGCAATTTTTCTTTTGTTCATAATTTATAAGTTGATATGTATGTCGCCGCCATCTTGGTGTCCAACTAAGGGGCACAAACTTGGAGGCCAAAACACAAAGATTGAAAATAATGTTCATATTGCAAACACTTCAGTTTTTCAATAACGATATAAAAATCATCAAAACAAAGTTACCAATCATCTACTCAGTTAAAAACGTATTATTTCAATGGAATGTCCCTATTTCTAATGCTTTGAAGTTCGTGACAGTCACTTGGCTAGCAATAGACCTAAAACCAAACAGTGATAAAATAAAGTTATTTTGGTAAGACTTTCTTATCACGGTGAATACTTTGGATTGAAGTTTTTTTTAGAAGCAACAAAAGAGTCATTGCTCAAGAAATCGGATTTCAAAAGATTTTTTAACGAGAAACGAAGCGAAAATCTGACCATATTTCTTATGAACAATTCAAACGTTAGATATTTCAATCCGAGCAAAATAATCTTCTTGACGGAACATTATTTACATCTCCAAAAATTTACGAAGCACAAAAAAGCAACTCATAATTTAGACTTTATCAAAAACTTGTGAGAAGGAAACATATTTCTATTAACTGAAGCAAAAATGCTACTGATTCTTCTCTTTTCTGATTGGTTAAAGTTTTGACTCAAAATTATGATTGGTCAACTTTGCAAAACTGGTCCTGCTTAAACCATGCCCACTTTAACAATCAAATTGAGTTTTCGTAATTGGATTTTTAACTTTTCTTAGATTTCAAGTGAACTTTTATTGCAGAAGTAAATAAAATAAGACAAATTGCTTCTAACCCCGCAAGATTTTTAAAATTGAATTGCTAATAGATAAATAATAAAGTTTGCTTTGGTACACTATGAACCGCTATCCAAGCAGGTGATTCTGCTTCTCTCGGCCAGAACGAATTAGCCAATCAGTGAACATTTTGTGCAAAGCCAGTATTYCCTAGTTCCAGGTTTTCAGATCGAAAAACAACAGCTTTTACTCGGTCACAAAGAAGCTAATTTATTAAGATGTTTCTATAATTGTATAACAAGATGTCTTTTACAGATTTACATTATTATACCACAAAAAAATGGAAAACTATTAAACCCGTTTAATACCTTACTTTTAAGGTGAGCATAGGAGAAAGAAGTAGTAGTTTAGTTAATTGCAATTGCCAGCCAGAAATCTATTGCATAATTGAATCTAACCATTATTCAAACAAATTATTACAACAAATATTCAAATGCTAGGCACATTAATTTAAGTAAAATTGGTAACCCATTAAGCTCATTTTTCATGACTTTATTGCGTCAATTTCGTCCGTACTCACGTACATAAGTCCGTACGTCTGTGCACAGACCTCAGGTTTCCCGGTTCATTTCAAGGCAAAATTAGCTGCAAATGCACAGAAAACATCGCGAACGAAAGACGAAGTCGTACGTGACAACAGTCACATTGGTTGTGTCCAATACAGTCTTGAAACGCGACTACTTTAATAGTACATTCCAATTTTATATACAATCGCTAACCTTGATTCGGTTCAATTCAAACCCTACTTAACTCTAGCTTTAGTTGTTGTTCTAGTCGGTTTTCTAAATWAATTAATYAAAGAAAATTACTGAATTAGCCTGTTTACATAATGAAAGAGAAATTATACAAAAAATAATAATAATAAAAGCTTGAAATGCGAATACTCTTACCAGACTGTACGATCTATTTTCAAGACTGATTCTAAACACAAAAAATTAGACAATATCAACAGTCCACACGTGCTCTACATCATGTGACCTCAGGCCTAGTGTGATTTGGTACCACATCGCAAGTAGGGCATTGTTTCTTTGCAGGGATTCGATTTCCGTTCCGCCGTTGACTGTTTGATATAATTTATTCCTCGACCGAAAAAACCGTCAACAAATTTAGCATGAAACAAAAATGGAAAAGTGTTTTAGAAACTGAAATTCGAAAAGATTTGAGGAAAATTTTTAAGTAAATATTTTGAATGAAAAGCACTATAAACAAAGTCCTCAGTCCCACTTGAAAAACAAAAGGAATAGAAGACTTTCGATAAGTCAAGGTCTCTTAATTTCACTAGTTTAATTAAATATAACCTCCAGCAATGTCTTTTCTTGCTGCCAATTGCAAACCTTTTTTTTTTTCATTGCGGCTAAAATACGATCCATAGAAAAATTGAATATTTTCATATGGACAACCAAACATGTTTATGTAAAACAAGTACAAGTTAGTTTATGTTTGGCTCTGACACCATTTTTTTACAAGGTTCAAGTTTGTTTAGTGCGATTTCATTTTGTTCTGAAAAATATCGGAAATCTCCAAAATTTGGATTTGAATAAAAGGTATTCAAGGTAAATATCACTTAACCTGATATTGTGAGGGATTATCTGTGGTTAGCTTTTGATTTCCTTCTCAATTTAAATTAACCAGCAAAGCGTAAAAATGTCGACTATTAAAACTTTGTCGAAAATGTTTTCAAGAACAAAAATGCTCCATGAGGTGAATGGTTGTTGGAGGATTGTGTAGACTTGACAAAAATTCCTAAGTAGGAGAGTAGTAAACAAAAAAACAAAGACTAGCGCTTAAAAAGTCTGTTGTACATTTCGATGATTTTTTCCCCGCTGTTTTTCATTATGAATGACATCATATGTGATCTTGAATCAAAAATAATAATAAAAGTCGATTTTTCCTGATTTCTTGTTCGCCTTTCAGATTTATCTAAATTGGCATCGATCCCTGTGGATAAAACGATGGGAATTCCAATTTTGGGCAGTGCCTAGATTCATAAATTATTTTTTAGTACTTGGTCAACTTGCTCATTTGATAACTTGTTGAATAAACTGGTTGATTCCCTTGGGAACCTTTCTCCACCAAGTCAGTTTTTGTTATGTTATTTATTATTCACTATTCCTAAACTCACTCAAAAATTGACAAACATGAAAGTCCAATTAAACTCAAATTATCGTCCTCGCCTTTATGCCGGTTACATTAAAACAAACATTTTACACTGGTTTCTTTTGACGTCATATATATTGTGTTACATGTATTCCTTTCTCATTAGAATGATCGCAAACCCATAATAATTCCACAGAGAGATACAGTGTGCATGTGGCCCAGTATCCTGCCACTTCAGCTAAAAATCCCCGTAGCTCCCTTTTATTAAAAGCTAATGCATTGAAACCCGACCAAATCATGAATCAATTATCCTGCAACATAATAAGAACAAATTTGTCATTTGTATCCTTTGTCTTTGGTTTGCATCGTAGTTTTAACGAAGTGGTTTGGAGATCCAGTATCCTGCCACCTGGTCCAGTATCCTGCCACTGCCAATAACCGTGCGGTTTATTGAGATCCCTGCGTTGTTTAGGTGCTAAATAGCAAAAAGGCACTTTCTAATAGTTTCTTACATTAAAAGTTGCAAAACAAGTTAGATATCATTCACCGCCTTGAGAAATAATTCCAAATGGCTCTCCTACTTTCACTCGCCATACAATTTTCACGTTATAAGATCCGCTTATTGATATTACGATGTAAGACACAAACAAATAGATCCCAGTTTAAAAAAAGTTATTATCAATCTCATACTCCTAAATGTTCATTTTTAATTTTAAAATTGTAAATTTAAGAAATTAAGCGTGTTACGAGTCCGGTTTATTCATCTATCGCGCGCGAAATGTACAAATGTCTCGCTTGGTAACAACAACTAGATAAATTATCCATTTAAAACACATTTCATATCCTGCTCATATATCGCATACATTTTTCACATAGCTATTATCAACTTATTACGAGTATATTTTGCTGTTCATTTACAAAACGATGAGAATGGCTTATCAAGCACTAGCTTATTTGCGTTTTTATCGTGTTTTAATTCATTCATCTCCTGCTATTCGGTTGTAGAATTGAAGAAATAAAACAGCCAAAGCAACATACAGCCCTTCTACTGCTTTATCAATACCAGTACATAGTTTTAAGAACCTCCTAGTCAAACGAATACAGATCTTTATTCAATTTATATGACAAGAAAGAAGTCGAACGATAAACTGGCAGGAAAAAGGGTCCCCCAAGCCTAAACTTTGTCCTTGTTTCTAGAACGTATTATTCAAACGAAAACTTATTCAATAGACCTTTCGCTCAGTTTATGAACGTTTTCATCATTATTCTTTCATCATATGAAAAATCATAGCGATCCCAGACGTATTTCGCATGTTTTGAGTTTATTCATAATCATTGGTAATTTCACTGCGCAGTAAAAAGCCTAATTTTAGCCATGAGAACGTTTACCTACCTGCTCTTCTCTTCTCCTTGTTCCCGAATGCGTTGGACCAAAAAGTTCGCCAAAACTGTCTTTGGAAACCGGAAGTGTTTGGCTAATAATTGGATTAAGTAGATAAATAAAGCCGACGAGATATTTTAAATTGCCTATCACCCTTCTGACAATATTCTCAGTATTGATTCTACATGGGGTAAGATGTTGAATAACCCGAAAAAATTACAAAGTTTGAGTGCGGCTTCTTGAAGTTATGAAGGTTTTTCCATGTCATATGCTAATGCTGTGACGTATGAGGAGGCATTTATGGTTATTTGTTGTTCCTCGTAATTCAAAACACCGGCTTTTTATAAGAGCAATGGGGAAAACAATGACGTATTTCAAATCTAATTTATCTGTACCAGTAGTGTTTTGTATATTAAATGATTACTCCTCATACGTCACAGCATTAGCATATGGCATGGAAAAACCTTTAAGACTTCAAGAAGTTGCACTTAAACTATATATTTTTTAGTGTTATTCAACATCTTACCCCATGTAGAATTAATACTGTGAATATTGTCAGAAGGGTGATAGGGACTTCAAGTTGAATTTTTTTTGGCAGGATGCTGGTGCCGGCAGGAAACTGGGCCAGACACTGTATACAAAAATCAATTTTAATGCTGCAGAGAAAACTTAAAATGAATTGTCCAGTACGTACCAATTAAAAAATACAATAGTGGTGTCTTCTTTTTCCTTTACACCTCCTTCAGCTTCAATGCAGTCCTCAGAAATAAAGAATATTATTTATTATTTATTTATTATTTATTATTCATTAATCTTTAGTTTCGCAGTGTAAACCAAAGAGGAAAGAGTTTGATAAGGAGTTTTCTGGCCTGGCACTCACCAGTAAAATACTTGGCTCATCAAACACAAAAGAAGTAATCTGTCAGTACAGCTGTCACTCTCACGAGAACTGTGATGCTTACAATTATAACTTGGATGATGGTCGCTGTGAAGTACTCGACGCTCGTTCTTCTTTTTTTAATGTAGTCATGAGAAAAGGCTGGATATTCAGGGCCTCGAAGGTAATCAAACATCTTTCCATCCATCCATCCATCCATCCTATCTATCTATCTATTCATCCGTTCATGCATCTATTCATACATTTATCTCCCTATCCACTTCCGTCCTATCTATCCCACTCATCATCTATTTGTTCATCCTATCCATCATAGCTATCTATAACATTTGGTCCATTAATCGGTTCATTAACTTTTACAATGTGAATCAGATCCGTGTCTTAATGGAGGTACATGTTTCCATGCAATTGGAAAAGACAGATGTCTGTGTCCCTGTCAGTGGAAAGGAGAGTTGTGTGATGTACACAGTAAGTATTTAGTTAGATATAAATATCTGTGTCCCTCTTTCTTTACATATTTTTCTTTTTGTCTAGTAACCAACTCTGATTACGTGATGTCCTTTCCCGGAGGATCAGTTAATGACTTGGTTGTCTTTGAAAATCCCTTTCCGGCTAGTTTGAGTATGCTATCTGTCAGCATGTGGTTTCAGATGGATCCTGCAAAAGTTGGAGAACATACACTGCTGAGCTACGCAACTCCGACACTAAACGACGCGATTGTTGCAATGTTAAAGCCAGACCAAACACAGATATGCATTTACAACAACTGGGGGTAAGAACATTTTTGAGACTAAATTATTTTACCTTGGTCCATTCTTCATGCATTCCATTCACAATTATTGCTTACTAGCTACCATCTTTTGTAGATATGACTTTTTTCAAGTTGTCATAGGTGATGGAGAGGAAGTTTTTTGTCAACCATTTAATTCTCTTTAGTTCGTTCCTTCGCTTTAGAGTTATGAAAAGACCGGCTCATGTGTATTGACATTTCCTTACGGTATTCATAGTATATCGTATTAATGTGTTTTTCAGTGAAAAGGCGAAGTATACAGATCCAAATCAGTTGATAACTGACAGCACCTGGCATCATCTTGCTTTCACTTGGGAAAGTGTGACAGGTAAGGTGGTACTGTATATCGATGGAATCAGGAGAGGCGAGAAAGCCAACGTAGCAACAGATGAGACGATTGACGACGGGGCCTTAGTACTTGGCCAGGACCAAGGTAGCTACAAAGGAAGATATAATCCAAAGCAAGCTTTTAAAGGCAACCTCACAAGCTTGAACATGTGGGACAAGGTCCTGACAGCCTCTGAAATATCAGATCTCGCCAGAAAATGTCCAACTCAGGAAGGAAACCTCCTAACTTGGACTAAGTTGATGAGTCAGCAGAAATTATGAAATGTGAATTTGATCTGCTCTCCTTTTTGTGTTCCCATATGGCCGTAACCAACCGGGGCGCACCGGGTGCCTCAAAAATGACCTGAAAGGCCGGTGACTCATTAATAGTTGTTTTTTGCCCTTTTTCCATATGCAAGTTGCAGCATATTCATGATCGCCCACCCATTATTATATCAATATTTAATTCCACAACAAAATATCGATATTGCACAAAATACTAAGAAAGTAGTTTGACCAGGGGGACCAAAAAGCATTCAAAGCATTCTAAATCAAACGACACTTATACTTTGGTTAGCCTTACCTATTACATTCACAATGTGCACATTATTTCATATGAACAAACCTTATCCTGTTTTACTATCTCAGACCATGTGCGTTTCAAAGCATTCTAAATTATCGACACTTATACTTTG